CAGATCATGTGGCTGGAACTTGGGGTCACGAGACAAAATACTGGAGTAGACCCAACAGGTAATGGTTACTACCATCAGTACTACCAAAAAAATACAAAATACTGGAGTAGACACAACGAGTAATGGTTACTAGCATCAGTACCACCAACCTAAGTGTTTGTTTGCTCTGATTTTATGGATCTTAGGAGTAATTAGAATCAGCAATTGAACACTGGCTATGGTTTACAAGTGAGCAAGTGCAAAAGCCATAGAATGGCAACATTATAGATCCAGTTCTGCATGGATCTGGCAATACAATTTGAATTGGGGAACTACAGTATGCCAATCTACTGCAGCAGAGCTAAAGCAGGAGTCTTCCACTAAGCTCAGCATTTTTTAAATGAGATTAGCAACATGAAGCTTGCAGAGACATGAACGCATACACCTCCCCCTAGCCATTCACACTGCTCCGTCAGTTTTTGGAACTGAACAAGTCACTCGCATAGGTCAAAGCCAAGAAATCCTTTCTATTATGCACTTGTAGTTTCAAAGAAGAGGGGAATCCCTCAGTTGAGAACTTCAAAAGAATGCTAGTACATAAATATTGGACTTAGGGCTCCGTTATGCAATTAAAAACAGATCAAAATCAATATATATCAGAGTCATTTCAGAAGAGAATTAGAGGCCTAGTGAGTGGATGTTACGGCCACTGCATCTTTTTCTACGCCTACAGAGATCCTGAGGAGAGGATCTACCAGACAGGACTCATGGATCTTCCACAACACTAGAAAGCGAGCCACTCCTACAAATGTATTATTTTCTCTTAATAAACAATGAGCCGATATTGGTAGATCTTCCCTGTGATCTTTAGTGGCTTGGCAAGGATTTCTGGCTCTTAATTGTTTTAGCAATATTGGCAACAAAAAGGCATGCTGCTCCTGGCTCCGTGTGGTAGAAATTTGAATGGTGTCTCCATCATCTGAGCTACATTCAGAGAGTTTCATCATCACATCTTGGGTCCCTAGGTGACAAAACGGCCATAGCAACTAAGTATACAATAACCGTGTCGAATAATGGCACTTCCCAACACCAGAGGGAATATCCACACCAATGGAGTCATGGATCTTTCAGAGATGTAGCCATGCTGGCCTGTCTCAGGATAATCACAAAATCAAAAGGGGGAAATCGCCAAGTGGGGTAGGGGGCAGAAGAGTAAAAAAAGGCAAAAATAACAGCACTTTAAAAATCAACATAAATGATTTTGTTATTCTTTAGTTTGCCTTTTCCCCTCTTTTCCCCTTTTCTCTCCCTCTCTTGCCTTTTTATTTTGCCAACAAGATACTCATGTTTATTTTTTAAAAAACATTTAAGTTCTTGTTCAAAAGGGTCACTTCCCAAGCGTCTGGATCTCTCGCCTGAGTTCTGCAACTCAAAAAGCACACCCCTCCTTCACTACACATATCCTAAGCCTCTCTCATCCCATGCTTATTTTGGGACCTGTATCTGTAATTATCCACAATTTCCAACTATTAAGGCCAACTAAATTTTGCAGACCAACCTTCAAGCACATGTTAAATAACACCTTTTAAAAAATAACAGCTTTTAGCTCTGTGCGAGAAACAGAGAATGGAGGGAACAAACAACATTGTTGAAAAGGAAACCAAAACTTAATCCGCAAAGTTAATAACAATAATTGTAACAAATGTATTCAGCAAGCTGCACAGGAACAATTACAAGGTACGGATGTATGCATGAAAGGTCAAATTATCCCAAGTTCTTTCAAAAGAATAGAAATCTGGACTACTAGAACATGAACAGACCCACTTTGTACTGAATCAGTTCACAGTGTTATGCAACCCAGTCTTGACTCAAGACACCACCTGATTTCCAATTGTTTTAACATAAAATCCCAACTGATGTTGTCGAAGGCCTTTGACACAAGACGTCACTTGGATGAGACTGAAGATCTATTTAGATCTGCATCTTGTTTGTCTTTCATTTACCGACAAACAGACCATTGGTAGGGAATGACAGCAAGGAGAGAGCTTGGTGGAAGAAACAAAATGGCGGCCAGACATCCAACACAATTAATGTTGTGCTACTTCCAACACCCCCCCCCAAAAAAAACACCAATAGCTCTTAGAGAGAAAAACAATAAAGCTATGCTACAACTTCTACTAACATTGGTTTTTACCTTGAAGAAACTGCTGGGGAAAAAACTGGTGAAAGCCACACAGACCCTGTTTTCAGTTCCCATATAGAAGGCTGACCATTTCACAAGGTCATGTATGTGCAGCTATAGAGCAAAAAGCAAATAGTCATGATGGCTCTACAGTATATAAATCATTACAAGGAAGTCAGATAAACATTTCTAATGAACAGTTTTTTTTCAAGACAGTCATTTTCTATTTATATTTTTATTGTGTTTTAAAACTGTTTTAAGCAGAGCTATCTTTTAATATCACAATATGTTTAACAATATATTTAATGTTTTATGTTATGTATTTGGCGCCTCTCTATCTTGTAAGCCGCCTTCAGCCCATGATTTGGAAGAAAAATACAAAATAAATGTACTTAAGGGGCTTGTCTTTACAGGGGATTTTTAAAGGAAGCATTTTATTGTCTGTTTTACTTGCGTTCTTAATATTGATCTTATTATGAGTTTTTAATATGATAGCTCTGCTCAATGCTTTTTTAAATATTGCAGTAATTTATTATTTGGCTTCTGGCTTGTTTCTTTTAAATGATGTCAGCCTCCTTGGACCCCTTGTAACAAAGCTGGCATCTAAACATTTTAAATAAATAAAATAAATAAGGAACTGCTGGATAGCTCAGTAGTTTAGGCATCTGGCTGCAGAACCAGAGGTGGTGGTTTTGATTCACCATGGTGCCTCTGTGAGAAGGGGTGGACTCAGTGATCCATAGAATCCCTTTGAACTCTACAGTTCTAAGAGGATGATGATGATGAATGGTATTAGGAGTGGGCTGGAGCAGGCTGAATAAGGAGGCCTGATATACCATTTGGAGTGATCCACACATCCAAATGGCATACAGACCAGAAGTCTGCTATAAGTTTGTCAAGACAGCCCCTATGTAGCTTGCAGAAGTCTGCTATAAGTTTGTCAAGACAGCAGTGTAGCTTAAGAGAACCATGTGACAATATTGGCAAATTACTCATTTCTTCAACTCTGCGGAGGGGCCGAGGAAGGGGGGGCGGAAATAATAAACATGTTTAAAAGTATGTATCAGGGCTGTGATAGTTGCATTCTTTTGAAGACCTACGAGATCTAAATATATATTAGGGAAGCACAGCATAGCCTGCAGTCAAAACTCAGAAAACTTCAGTTCAGGCAAAAAGACTTTCTAACAAAAGAGTTTGACAAAAAAAAAAAGCAATTTATTTTATTTTAGCACACAATTCACTACGATGGTAGGAGGCTTGAAAAAGTCAATTTAAATGCTAACTCTTAAAAAAAATACCCTTCTTCCTTTCCTAAGTCCAAAACTCACTAAATTTAAATTCAGGCCATGACCAATGAATAACTAAATAGATAAATCCAAAATAACTTCTGATTCTTCATAAACAAACTAGTCATAAGCCCCTTTAATGTACTGCTACAATGCAAGTAGGCAAGAGGCAGTGGAAGACAGGAGGGCCTGGCCTGCTCTGGCCCATAGGGTCACGAAGAGTCGGACACAACTTAACGACTATGAAAGTTGTGATCACAGCATATAAATGCAGACGCCTGCTGGGAAGGAGTTAATGAAATACCCATCTCTGGGAAGACAGGGAGGCAGCATATAAATATAAATAAAATAAACCATTCATATTTTCATCCATGTTGCCAGATATAGTTCTGTTTACTTTGGAGGAGTAACCTGTACAAGCTGAGCAACAACAGTTAAGGTAAAGGTAAAGGTTCCCCTTGACAATTTTTGTCCAGTCGTGTTCGACTCTAGGGGGCAGTGCTCATCCCTGTAAACAGAACTATGAGCCAGCGTTTTTGTTCGAAGACAATCTTCCGTGGTCACATGGCCAGTGCGACTTAGACATGGAACGCTGTTACCTTCCCACCGAGGTGGTCCCTATTGATCTACTTGCATTTGCATGCTTTCGAACCGCTAGGTTGGCGGGAGCTGAGACAACTGACGGGCGCTCACTCTGTCGCGTGGATTCGATCTTACGACTGCTGGTCTTCTGACCCTGCAGCACAGGCTTCTGCGGTTTAGCCCGCAGCGCCACCACGTCCCTGCTCTGTAAATCCACTGCAACAGTAATTGCTTACTGTTAAGTTTCACAAGAAAGCCATATGGGAGAATATACACAGTATTATCCGGCCATTCTTTGCTCGAGGAACTGGGGATGATGTCCAACCAACAACAACCTGAGCTGTAATTTGAAAACCACACCTCCTGTGCAGCCTGTACTTTTTTCCAACTCACCTCTTTAAAAAACCAAGCCTGGACCAACCATTTGCCACGAATTTTTGAGACTTTAATTTCTCTGCATTATCAACGGGACACCAGCACATGTTGGAGGAATAGGACGTCAATCCACAAAACCCCGCAGCTTGTCTGATTATTTTTTAGGGGGTCTAACAAAGGTATCACCTGATCCTGCACTGCACTGTATAAATCAACCCCATCATAATTTTCAAAAGCTAGCACAAAATGTGCTCAGAATGGTGGTTTTTTGAGAAAACCTACTACAATGTTGTTGTTGTTCGATTCAGAGTCAGTTAAATTAGGCCTACAATCCACGTCTCATTTATGGACTCTCATAGCATTCCTATATTGTTTTGAACAACACGATTATAAACATAGTGTTTTTGACAATGATATTGGCCAGAATACTACTATCATCACAGCGAAGAAAACCACTTACAAAGAAGGCAGTTTCTAGGCATGAAAACCTCGTATTAAAATTCCAGTGGCAAACATTAAGGATACATACTGTACATCACAAGTTTTGATGGAAGGATATGGCTGAGTAAAATGAGATTTGGAAGTAACACGCATACCTTTGTCTGCAACAGTGCTGAAAAGCTTTTCGGAACTTGCATCAGATGCCTACAAAATGAAAGGAAAGACGTATTAGATAGCTAGGTGTAATGAGGAAAACTGCAAGGAAAAATATTTCGTATGGCTGCGTGCAGTGCATTGTGGAATACAGGGACCAAAAAGCTGAGACTTCAAATCAGATGCAAAACAAAATACAGGGGGAGACACGGAAATCGAAGAAATAGAAAGTTAACATCATAAATGCCCTGAAGATGGTGCTGTTCCACTATCTTTGAACATTGTGCCATGCCAGCGCTTGGATTTTTTTTTCATTTCTAGAAGCAACAGAAGTGTGCATTTGTGTGGCTCTGTACACACGGAGGTGTACACACATTCAACGGCAAATTGGCTTCTGAGTATGTGGACGTTCTACAAACTAACTCCAAATGCTAGCCATACTAAAGTAGATCCACCGAAGGGTAAATCAATACTTATGTAAATTCAGTAGATTTCATTGGTCTTTTCTAGCTGAAAGTAGCTATTTATTATATTATATTTATATCCCACCCATCTATATTATATTATATTTACCGGTATATCCCACCCATGGCATACATCGTACAAAAATAAACAATTAAAATAATATCAGTGGAAAAACAAGAAGACAGATCAAATGGTGCCCGGGGGGAAGGCCTGCCTGAATAGCCAGGTTTTAAATTGGCTTTTAAAAATACCCAGCAAAAGGGGTACTGGATTCATACCTAAAAGATGATAACCCAAGAAAAATATGGTACTAATTCATTTGTAGCTTTTTTTTTAAAAATCCAGGCAGAATGTACCTATGGAGTTATCTGTTTACACGATGATCCTGTGAAGTTTGTTAGGCCAGAAACACATCAACCAGCTCACAAATGAAAGCGAACTTCATGTGAGGGTTTCCAATCTAACATTATCTCCTTCTCATAAACACACAGATCTTCAGGAATTCACGCAGAACTCATGTTTTTCCTTCTAAGGCACCTCAAAACATACCAGTTAATTAAATCTGGAGCTTTTAAGGGTCTCTTTAATTCATATGTATGTGAATTTGTTACTCCTTGATGTTTATCATACCAAGCTAAAGATGGCTGCTACTCTCATATTAGATGGGACTGGGATAAACAAGCAGAAAGAATGCACTTTTCTCTCAGTGGTATTTGCTGTTATGTGGAATCAAGTCAAAACCAACTTAAAGCAACTCTGATGGGCTTTCAGGGTAAATGTGGTGCTCGTTTCATTTCCCCAATGAATTTCTCTGGCCAGGTGGGGAACCGAACCCTGGTCTCCAGTCCTAGTCCATCACTCTATACACTACATCACACCACAGATGTATTATTAGATTTTAAAAAAACAAACGAACGCCTATACTCTTAACCTTGTGTGTTTCTTAATGATGACACTACTGCAAAACAAAACATGGAATGTAGGAATCAAGATGCAATCTAGAGATTTGTTTACGATTTATTCGTTGAGTCACTGTCTCAATGGGTCTATTCTAGCTGTGATTAGCAACTGGATTGAGGCCACTGATGCTTAGATTCTTGCACCTTTTTTGAACACTACTGAGGTCCTTCTATTACTGATCTCAACAGCAGGCAATGACATGCAAGGACCTTCTCCTTTTACTGTTCCAGTAATACAGTGAAGGACTGCATCAGAAATACATCACAAGCTTAGAAGCCATGATTTCTTTTCAGTTGCGTAGTGAACTATGACCACAAACAGGTTTTTTCCCATCAGTTTGTCAGGGCCGGGATTTTACTTCCAGTTATGTAGGCTACAGTTCTTCCTTTTTTCCCCCCCAAGAAACAGGCCTATCGCCTGGATCTGCCAAGCATGTATTCTTGTATACTCATACAAGCCATGCAATGGCACCCCTTATAAAGCTCAGATTTAATAGCATCCTCATTCTCTGCATGTGTTTTGCTCTATATCAGAAATAATAAATATGGCTGTGGCCAAAATCATCATATGAAATTGCTTGCACAAGTTAAAAAAAAAGTCTTGGCACAAAAATTCAAGTTAGCTCTCAAAGAAAAAAAGCTGTTGTACACTGTATGCAATTAATCAGCACACAGACTTCCGAAGTGTGCCTTCCAGCTATGATATAAAAATATGTTAACACTCATATATAAACAGATACAGAGGCACATAAATGTGTCATTGTCACCTTGCAAAGCTAAAGTAAAGCATGTTTATTTAGTGTCTACTCTTAGAAACAAGTTCCACAGAGTTCAAGAGGATCAACTGCCAAATCAACATTCACAGACACACATTCTTAGTGATTTAGGAGCATACTGAAAACACTAAGATTTTTATATTTGCTTTTAAATCTCCTTTAGGGTGTTAAAAGGCTCTATCCACTACATTTGTCTATGGATTCCAGCAGCTTGACACTCCTTGTGTTTAGGAAAAATTGAAATAAAATTTCCTTTGCTGGTCGTAGGAAATGACCCATATTATCTATGTGGCAAATGTTCTGCCAGATTTATCATGCAGAAAAGGTAGCAGAAGAACAGACAAATCAATATACTAAACAAGGTTGAAGAGATTTTCACTGCAGAGACCAGACAAGAGTTATCATTTTCCATAATTTGAGTGGTTTTTTCTTATTTCCATAATTTTGCCATTCACTCTGATCTGCGACACCAGCCAGCTTTCCATAATAGGCAGCTGTTGTGTATTTGAATTGTCCATTTAAACTCAGACATACACAACGCGTGAGCACGCATGCGTCTGCTCCTTCTCTGAAGCTAGTTTAACGTTTGCTATTTGAATTACTTTTCAAAAGTACACAAATAAATCCAACCATCAGTTTATTATAACACCAAATTGTTCGATTTGTAAAACTCTTCAATTCCCACCACAAAGTCAGAACTGCAATGAAGGTTTGCACAACACGAAACATGTCCTCTTTCAAATATTATATGCAGAATCGCAGCAGATGTTAGTAGCTATATTCCACAATCCATTCAAAGGAAAAGTAGGGGGAGCAAAGAGCATCTAAAGGTTAAGCAGGAAAACTGTTTTCATTCCTGTTTACGTTATTCATGGAAACAAAACAGAAGATGTTGACGAGCTCCGTCACAATACACCCTGATCCTTTTCTCTTTTTGTCTGACAGTCAAATGTAATGCCAGTCTTTTTATGTAATTCTATCGCCTTTCCTTTGGCTACAAAACAACTGGAGAAATAAAAATATGAAATTCCTCAAAGCATTTTCTAATAGATAATAGAAAACTGAGATGCACGGAGAAAGAGAGGAGAAAGATAGTTACCAAGAAAAGGGGCTTATTACTAGTACAAATGATGTACACAATCTTCAGGACAGAAAGAGACAGGGGTTTACAGAGCTCAATACATCAAAATAGAAGCATGTGCATATAGACAGAGGAATAATCCTTTTCACCCCACATACTTTGATTGGACACTAGTGGGCTTCGAGACTAATACATTTGGTGATGTTATCCGTGGGGCACTGGGTTACACTCAAATAGCTGGTCAAGCAAAAACAAAGCAAAATTTCAAAAAGGCAAAAACGTTGTGGCCACTTAAAGACTAATTGCTGCATTTTAATGTGAACTTATATGGATAAGTCCATTTCTTCAGGCAGAAGAACAGGAGTGCATGGCAAATATTTACACAGTTCTACATGGCTCCAAACAGGGCTACCTCTTCCAAAACCCAGATAGGTGCAACAAAGCTATTGGCATGTATTTGCAGGTACAAAGACCATGTTTGATTACGCTGTGATACAACAGGATGCTTGAAAGAGAAAAAAACATGCCTTTAAGCCAATGTATCTTTTGATGGAAGCCAAACCCTGTCCATATTGTGGGACACTGCACTGACCACAGAGACTGGGAGAGACAGGGAAAATCTATTTCCTCACTGCTTTAAAGCTTTCAGCTACTCACTAAGCACTTCTCAAGCCTATTGAGCTCAAATGCTAGGAGTCAGCAAACCTTCAAACTAAAAGAATCAGTTCTCTCTCTTTCTCTCCACCCTAACCCCCAGTTTCATCAAGGAATTTATTGCCATAGAGGGGGAGGTATTACTCCAAATATTTCCTGTCCAGACAGAACGGTTTGGCGCTTTTTGTTTCTTGGCAGGGGCTGAAGGCAAGCACTTGCAAAAACCTCAGCTCCTGACATGAAAGGCTTCTGAAAGCCGAATGGATCCCAGGAGCCACCTCCTACCTAAGTGGGGGGGGGGTGAGAGGCAGGCGGGATGGCAGACTCCTCCAAGCTATAATTAGGGGCTACAAGACTGCTTTGCATCACGGAAATCTGCAACAGCCAAAGACACGTTCAGTGCAGGGCAGCCTATTAACCGGATGCAGAGGTTCTCCTAGTTTTCAGCCCATCTAGCCTGGGCAGGAAGGGGAAAAAAAGAAAAAGAAAACCCAGCTGGCTTTTCCATTCAGCTCCCAAACCAAGGAGCTGCTTTTCACGTTCTCAAGCTCAAGGCGCGATCTTCCAGACAGTGAGGAAGCAATCCAGTCCCTTGCTGGCAGATCTTGGCCGATCAACTGTGTAAGAGAGAGTAGAGGTGGGGCTTGTGATGGTCCTTGTTCACCTGCGCTTCTTCGGGTCTTTTGGGACCAGAAGCAAGCAGAACGAATGTGAGGATGCTGTGGGTGATGGCCGTCCTACCATAACGTCTTCTGAATCTCTGGCCAAAACAATACGGGCCATCCGGGCTTGAGAGAGCAAAGAGCACATCATCTCAGTAACCGCATTATCATCCCAACCAGAGGGCCGGGGTGATGTGGTAGCGAAAGCTCTGAACCAAAGCATGGGCAGGCAACTTGTGGGTCGACAGGTGCTTCAGACTCTGACTCCCATCAGCCTCCATTGACACCACCAATCCTCTTGGATGATGGGAATTGTTGTCCAAAACATTTTCAAGGCAACCGGCTCCTCACCGCCTGAATATGCAAGTTCACCAAATCACGACACTGACTTTGACCAGGCAGATTCTGACGACCCGAGTTAGTTACCTTTCCAGAAATACTGTAGCAAAC